GGGGGAGCATGCCCCCGGACCCCCCTAGCATGGCGATGACCTACGGTCCTCGCATTGCTCGCTCCTCTGTTTGCTAATTTAAATTTCAGCTGAACATTTAATTAACCAATCTCATCCCTGGATAGGACGTCCTTAAACATGGTTCTGTTCTTGGCAATAAAGTGTCTCAAATTTGACAATATGGCATGAATGCGTGTAAAAGGTATAAACTGGTCTCTCTTGACCAACCTAGCAACACTTTTCAATAGTGTGTGGTTATTTCGCTGAGGTGGATGAATAAATTATTTTAGAAGCCGACTGGAGGCTGATGCTTTACGGCAGGACTCTGCCACGCCTCTGCTGGAAGCATCCACCTATGACTTTGACAGCTATGACCCCAATAACACCCTATCCTCTGCTGGTGACCACTCGGAACATGATGAGAGTGAGGATGAGGAGGAGGAACAGTCGAGCAAACACGATGGTAAATAGCTATTATTTTAAACTGCTGAAACGGATGAATCGATTTGTGGACCATTTGCCACCGATTACTAATATTTGGGTAATTCCAAAATACAAGCTAAGGTACTAGTAGTTATCTTCCAGGTTTATGCTTTTTATTAGCATTTTACACGCAAGCTTTTGAATGGGACATAAATGCTACGTAGTGTGTGCCAGTTGATACCCGTACGTTTTTGTACCTGCAAATCACCATGTTCCATGCAGAGATAGAGAACGTGGATGAAGGCTTTGTAAGTCTATGGAGTTCAGAAGCAGCAAAACAGTGGAGCGACAGTTCTTCATCCGATAGTGACGATTGCAGCGACACGCCGTACATGCGATTGAAGCAACCGAGTCCAGTGCCCTCGTCTGACGTATGTAGCTCACAACATGCGAATGAAAAGATTCATAACATGCATAATATCAGGAGTGAATAAAAACAAAGCACTGTGCAAGGCTCAGTTATTGGAAATTTAGCGTTTGCAAACCTTACGTTTAACTCAACCTGAGCTCAAAAAGTACCTTAAATATTCACATAGCATCATATACGAAATTAGCATATGCACAATCCTCAGGTATGTGCAATATACCAAAACGTATGCCACGGGTTTCGAAAACTTTCTACAGTAAAATTGTGGTAACCCCCCCCCCCATTTAGCCTATATCTGCGGATTGTGAAGGGGAACGTTTACGATAGCCTGTAAACTCTGTCTGTTCAGTTAAACGTAATAAATCGTAGGTAGATTAAGACTAGTTGGTGTTGGACTTTAAATAATTAAACCTCGCACGTTTCTTTGCTTTTATTCATTCCTGATAATATATTAATAACAATAAGATATGATGAATACTATTACTAACAAGTGCCGTGGAGCGACAGCGCTCATCTAACGTCTACTGCGGTGACTCTGTGGTGGAGTGGTGGGATTCTAGTAAACCCTGTTAGTCCCAAATGTGTTCACATACACGCCGAAACAGTGGTTGAAGCACAGGGATGGGTATCAGGAACATGCTGTCTCAAAGGAAATGTTACCATCTGGATCGTTATTGAAAGTTGCCACGAGATGGCGCGTACGTTATAAGTGTCTTCAAGATTTAAAAGATGGAAGCTCCCCATCGTAGCGTAGTAGCAACAACCTATTTGCAAGCAGAATAGGTAGCACTCATGCCATGTGTACACGTACGCAAGCCTACAGGCTGAAAGTACGAGCTTGCCACCTGTAACTAATTAAACGACAGGCCAAAAACTACACCCAGAGCCACCACCAACAATGCACTGGCAGTGGCATACCGTTACATGTCAACCACTGACAGTCCACCAGAATGCATAGGAAATAGATATACGATTTAGGGAGCATAAACCTTGCCTTCGACCAAATTACTTTGAAAATTGTCACTGTGACATGTAAGCCTCCAATGACATCCAGTGCATGTATAGATTCTAACTAGCAAACGGGCCCGGGCAATCAAAATTCTTTTCTATACAGTAACAGTAACAAATCCACGTTTAACAAGCTGCCTCTTGAGGTCAAAAGGTATCCGATCAATTAAAACTTTCGCATGTCGCAGAAAGTACAGTTTCATGGGTCCTGTCAATAAAAAGCCATAAAAATGCTAGGTCCCACCGCTGAAAACAAAAAAAAGTTTTCAATCGCGTCCGTCAAGATCCATGTCCTCAGAAAATTCCTAAAATCTGCCCTGTGACCTCCAATTTGCGTCACACAGTGAAATGGCTTTCCTACCATGATGCTGACATACAGCGACTATCACGGAGCCCTAGGGTGATGGCCGTTTAGATTGTGTGCCGCAATTCTGCATTTCCTCCCTATTACCCCTTCTTTACACCTCTTTCGAGACCATATTGAGCTGCTTTGACCCCGAACAGCTTCGACATACCCAACTCCGTTTTCGGATTACACCCCATCCAGACGTCCCAACTTTCGAATCCGTACGTCGAGCCGTAGAATTTGTGCCTAACTGTCTGACGGACGCAACCGCTCATGCGATTTCTACACAGCTGCCATCGACCTATGTCAGATGAGCCATAAAAACAGAGCAAATATAATCATACGTAAGTGAGGAAATTGTGCTTACCAAGTCCCCGTCAATTAAATTTTTGTGCGATGCAGGACAAAATCGAAATACTGGGCTGACTGCCGCTATCTTGGATTCCACAGGCCATGTGACAAACCCACATTAACCCGTGCCAGCACAGTATCGCGCAGAGGCTGCGCTCTCACAACACCACGCGGACGCCTAGACTAGGTCAGGTCACGAGGTCGTCCTGCAACACTGAGAGACCCTGGTGGGAACGGCGAGCATTCCTGTGACAGCAACGGTAGCCGTCACGAGACTTGCCGCCGACTGCCAAAAGGATGTGACGTCAGCTACTAGCAGCAGGACAAGCCCACAG